GGTTTCTTGCCATGCTGCGGACGCAAGCTTCAGACGAAGAAGTGAATGATGTGTGCTCCCGGCGCCTATTTATTCTACTGGTGGTGGATGAGGAGATACCCCCTGACAATGTAAAGCGCTTTGAGTGCCTAGAAAAGCGCTATATAAATGTAATGAATTATTATTATTATTATAACCGACCACCGGTGATCACAGCGAGATGCATGCCGGTTAGAAAAGTGTCTGAGTTACGTCCGACTTGCTCTGATGTCATGCTGACGTGTGCCAAAAAACTCTCGCCACGGCGAGGCGGCTGTGTCAGATTGTGCAGTCGAGCGCAGTTGCTTTCCACCGACTGCGCTGATCAAAAGCATGATGGGAAACGACTGACTGACGACACAGCTTAATGCTCATTGGTTCAGACAACTGTGATGCTGCGTTCTCTACTAAAATGTTTTATTTTTTTATCTGGTTCCATGTGATTATGTATTTAAATTATGCATGAATATTCCCAAACACGATGACAGTGCGATCTCTGTGTGAGGTATGTGATTGTTGTCATATTTCTATAAAAATCTAAAATACATGTTTGTATTAAAGTAAAAATGGATGATAAATACACCTTTTGTATGGAATTAAATAGCAAGCACTTTGAGTGTCGTTCATCATATTTATTTTCATATAAAAGCAACAGAACTGAAATTATATCATGTTTATTAGCAACACAGCATGTAAGTGAGAATAACGCAATATCTGCCTTTGATCTCGTTGGTATCTGTTCCACTTCGAGAGGTCAGAACTGTCCGTCTTGACTGCGCTTATTTCACTCCTCCCCTCACTGCTGCCACCTGCTCTCGCCTACATTTCAGGCGAGGCGAGGTGCAACAAGCCTATTGGCCCGCGTCTGAACTATGACGTGAAAATTGGCCCGAAGCCCGGCCCGAGGGGCATAAAAAAGTCGGGGCCCGTCGGGCCCGGGCTGAAATGCAGGGCTCTAATAGAACCTATTATTGTCTACACTGGATGCGGCGCGACAAATTCCCCACAGTAAACTGCTGCTGCGTTCTATTTATGACGTACTAACACAAATTTCAAATGATTTTCAATGGTCGCTTTGTCGCGTCCAGTGCAGACAGACTTTAGCTGTTGCGACGCGGCGCGACACGACAACTGTCGCGTCCGGTGTAGACACGGTGTAATAAAGGCAGGAATCTGTGTGTGTGTCTGTCTGTTTGTTTGCATTTTTATTATGTCAACAACCGTTCATCCAATCGACTTCACGCGTGGCGGGTGTGTTGCTGCGGACGGACCCAAGGGAGTGCAGTGTCGCATTTTGGTGCAATATGGACACCCGACACGTTCAGAATTAATACACTTTTAATAAACTACAGAACAGCGCGCGGGCAGGGCTTATATGCTCCGAGAACGGACACTGCACTAGTTATACAAAACACACAGGTCTGTTAAGAGCAATACTTTTAATATAGACAAATTATTATTAAGCTGGGCTACTGTACTTTTTTTTTTTGACTGCCGTATTCGCAAGTATTTTCCAAGCAAATTAAGTGCGC